TGGACGCGCCCCTGCCCAGAGCTGATTGGCTCAGCCCAGAAGCCGCGCCCGCGGTCCCGCCTCGGCTGGCCACGCCTGCCTGCCTCTGCTGGGGGGCGGGGCCCGAGCTGATGCGGTATCTAGTGCCCGGATTCCTACCCGGGAAGCCGCATTCCAGCGCCGGACCCCGGTCGTGGTCCCATACCCAGAGCAGCCCCAGCTTCAACGCAGCTGCAGCCAAGGCTCCTGCAACCCAATGGAACCACATCGCTGATGGAAACACGAGATCCCCACGGAGTAAAACAAAAGTCTTCACCTTACTACCAGCTCCAGAGGACAAGCCCCTATAATCTTGCTGTCAGCAGCTCCAAACCAGTTTATGTTCAGAGCAGCAATCATCCCCACTCGAGACCCCCTGATCTTTTGGATGGAGGTAAAAGAAAAAACAATTAAAAGCAGGGATATAGAGGGGGCTGAACTGATTTCTGCACCCATGTCCTTACCTGTGGTGGTACGTTTTTATTGTTAATTGTTTAATTGTTTGTACCAACGGTTGACCCCGAATACCTTTCCCCCCTGAAACTGAATGGTTTCTTCCTAAATTCTCCCCGCTGAGTTGACCGAATTTACCATCACAAGAGGGCTGGCAGCAGGGAGGGGGAGCAATTGTGTGAGGTAATGGCACACCCCCAATAAATACATGCCCTTTAGCTGGAAAATCCTTTCAGAGCTAAACATGGATTAGGGTTGCCTGCTGCAAATATACTTAGATTTGTAACTGCTAGTGAATTAACTCTCTATGATAAATGAAGCACATTGAAAAATTAATCTGTACTCCAGTGCAGTATAATATGTTTGAAACAGCCTGAAGATTCTATGCAGAGGACCAGGAGTTGAAAAATTCAAGAGCTTCACAGCAGGACCCATGCTTTGGGGCAGGGATTCCTCAGCTCATGGGATTACACCCCATGGAAGATCCAGGCACATTTGACTTTTGCAATCCTAGCCCAAGTGAAGGACTTAGCAATGCGGGCTCTAACAAAAATTACAGACTTGTCGGTGACAGCCCAAAGCTATTCAGTCATTAACCAAACAAACTATATATGCAATTCATGGAATGTTTGCGGGATGCTATGGAAAAGCAGATCGCAAACAGCAAAGCAAGGGGTCAATTAATGCTACAGTTGATGTGAGATAATGCAAACCAAGACTGAAGAATAATTATAGATGTATTACCTAAAGAGAATCCATCTCTAAAATAAATTATAAATGTCTGTATTGAGGTTGAGACTAGATCTCATAACGTGGATATATTAGCTAATTCTATTATAGCTGCTGTTAAACTAACACCCCAGTGCTACAAGTGCGGATTACAAGGCCATGTGAAGATAAACTATCCACACAAGTCCATTCCACAGGGGACTTCTCAGGGGCAAAGAAGTGGTAATGCTAGCTGCAACCAATGTGGGAAAGTTGGACATATGGCCAAGGTATGCTGGTCCAAATTTCATGTTAACAGACAATCTCTCAAAGACCAGGGAAATGGGAAGCCCAAAATGAAGGGGAAATGCATGACGACACACGTATTTTCCCATCCTCCAACACAAGCCTGTGTGACCAGCTCACAGCAAGGACAAGAGGATCAGCTGGTATGGATGTTTACACCTCAATCCCAATAACCATAAACTCATTACAGGTACATAAAATCCCTCTCAAGGCCCAGGGGCCCATAGGGAAAGGACTGAGTGCACTGCTAATAGGGAGATCCAGTGTAACTTTGCAAGGTATCTTGGTGCACCAGGTGTTATCGACGCTGATTTTACAAGATAAATACAAGCCATGGTGTCAATCCCTACTGCCCCTGTGACTATCCCTTCTAAGATATGGTTTGTACTGTTATGATGCCTCAAGCGAGGCCCTCACAGATAAAGGTCAGTGGTATGATTGACACAGGGGCAGACATCACCATCGTTTCTGCCAACACATGGCCTTAATCATGGCCTACCACACCTGCAGGATCTGCCATTGCTGGCCTCGGGGGGGATGACACAGAGCTGCTTGAATAGCAATCCTGTGTTGATCAAAAATCCAGAAGGCCACATAGCTACAGTTTGACCTCACATCACTGCAGCATCACTGAAACTGTTGGGGAGGGATGTTCTGTCTGCATGGGGAGTCAGAGTGGGAACAGATTTTTGATGGGGACCAGTGTATTGTTGGGCATCAGCTATTCCACACCAGCCCTGAAATGGCTAACAAGTCAGCCTGTGTGGGTACCACAGTGGTCCCTTGAAAAGGAGAAGCTACAATGCCCTAAAATCACTAGTACAAGAACAGCTAGCTCAAAGACACATAGACCCATCTATGAGCCCTTGGAACGTTCCAGTATTTGTCATAAAAAAGAATTCTGGTAAATTGAGATTTCTTCTTTGTTGCAGCTGGGTCTGGGGGTCTCTTTGACCCCGAGCTCTGTCAACAACAAATCCCAGATAGGTGTCCCAGGAAAGAGCCACTGTCCAGGGGGTTCCAGGCAGTTTCCAGCCAGGGGTAACCCTTAGGAGCATGGGCAGAGGCTTCAAGTGATCAGCTCTTTTAGAAGTGATTTCTGCTCTTGCAGTGATCAGCTCAGATCAGACCAGCCTGCTCTGTTCATGGGTTACCCCAGCTGCGCGTAGATGAGAGACGGGAGGCTGCGTAGTGTTCTGCGGGAGTTCTTTATTGCAGGCTTCAGCAAAGGGGGGCCAGTGATGATCTACCACTGAACGGGGAAAAAACTGTTTTTTTTTATAGGGAAGGGAAGAATTGGGAAGGGGACCAATGGTCTGAGACTGGGATAAGATGACCAATAGTTAACAGGGAGATAACATGGGGTCCCGAAGCAGGAAGGGGTCTACAGCTTAGTCATCGTGACTAGGTGCTTTTGTCTTATCTTAGGAGACAGATCTTCAGGGTGGGAGCCTGTCAGAGGAATGGGCTTCCTCCACACTTCATGTGAAAAATGAGGTTCACATCATTTTCATAGAATTTAAAAGTTTTATATAAAAAAAAAGACAATTGGGAGAAAAAAATAAAGTATACAGATACGGCCAGGTGTCTCTGCATTCAGCCAAGAGAGCACACCTTACTGACAAAGGATTGCCCCTTAAAAACAGAACCCTACAACATATCCATAAATTCTCATACATATTCATACATTCTTCTTAGGATCTTTGGTGTTCTTCTGTTTAGTTTTCTCTTGCCCCCTTCCCAATAGATCAATCTTCTTGGCACCATCGAGATTTACATTCCCTGATACCAGAAATGCAATAAATTCCTCCCCCTAGCGTTCTGGTCACTGCTGTTTTCATCTGGATAAGATAGTTTACAAAAGGGAAAAAAAAGGGTCTGCAGCTATCTTTTTCAGTCTTTGGGTTATACAGACAAAAGTAGTTTTAGTTTTAATGCTATGTCATAGCTTAACATATATGTATTATACCACTATTTCTAAGTTTCATCAATAACAGAAATAAAGAAAACTATGTTAATACAATAAATATTTCCATTCTTATACACATAACATTCATTTTAATATTTGCGAAAAGCCAACAATATATGTATCTATAACACTTCATGACACAAGAAAAATCAATTCTGTAATGAAGAGCATGGGCACATTGCAAGATGGTATGCCATCTCCTACAATGATACCTACCTCCTGGGACATTCTGATAGTGGACTTGAAAGACTTTTTTTCACTATTCCACTGCACCCAGATGATACCCTAAAGTTTGCTTTTACAGTGCCTTCCATTAATAACACGGCACTGGTGCAACGTTATCAATGGAGAGTACTTCCCCAAGGTATGAAAAACTGTCCCACAATTTGCCAGTGGTACATTGCACAGGAACTCTCATCAGTGAGAGAGCAATTTCCCAGGGCATGCTGTTATCATTACATGGATGACATTCTGATTGCAACCTGTAGTAGTTTAGATTCACCAATTTGTGTTTCCCGGCCAACACACCAAATAATGTGGTGGTTTTAAAGCACTAGCTAAAAATCACCAGAATACTTACTCATCTCTTGCTGTGAGATATGCATTAGGAGAGGGGCAAAAAAGGCTTAAAACTTAAAAGGAATAAGGAAAGTTTATTAACAGAACTACAAGAATAAGAAACCAGAATAAAACCTCCAGAAACCCTTCCTCCTCACCACTCCACCTTTTTCCTTATCCAGCTGACAACATAGAGACAAAACCTGGTGGTTAAAGCGGTACCAACTATACAATAGTCTTTTCATCAGTCTTTGCAGAGAAAGGAGTTGTTTGTGATTGTTTGTGATTCCATGGAGAGTTCTCCACAAGAGAACAGTTTTCTCATGGCTTTTCTTTCCCATGATTGGCAGCCACTCGGAAAAATCTCTGCCATTAATGCCCTCCTCCCATTTTCACACCATTCTGAGGTGTGTTCATGGGCCATGAACTCAAGGGGTATTATTTTAAGGATGAGTTATTCAAAGGCAAAGGTGTTCTTCATCTGTCTCTGTGAGCATCTGTGGGAACAGAGGTTTTCTCTTTTTTCTCCCTGGGGGCCAAGGGTCTTCATCAACTCTCACTTCTCTCTCTCTGTTCCATCATCTCATGAGATCACAACTACTCCACCATCTACTCAGCTTCATCAATGGGTACCTTTGCTCAGATGTACACTTTGAAATACTTCATTGCTCCCAAATACTCTTTCATGAAGAGTTTTTCAGAACATTATTGTCCATCTCCATGGCCTTACCAAAGAATATTTCAGTTTATTATTATCTCCTCACTCTCTTTCCATCTGAGGCTAGACTCCTTCTTTTATTGACTTTGATGGTTTATACTGTCTCTTTACATGTTGATCATCCTCACTTTCCTCTCTCTGGAAAGAGATTAAATCTGCGGGTCTCATCTGGGTAGTGAAAGGGTTAAAATCTGGCTCAAACTGCGACAGGTACTCATGGTGTCGGATTTCAGTTTGGCAGCCCCAGGGAAGGCAGTGAAAGGTTTTCAGCTGCTTTTCAGCCTGGAGCTGTCTTTGCAGGCCATGGGGGGGCATACCTTCGAGATGTCAGCAGCCACTGCCCAACACAGCCTAGGGCTGCCATGCCCCCAGGAAAGGCTTCAGCCACCCTGCTGGAATAGGACCCAGAAGGTTTCCCGGGAGGACTGTAGCAGAGCCTGGCCCTGGCCTGGGGGGGCATCCCCGAAGGCTCCATCTGCTCCATCCCCTGCTCCATCCCCCGCTCCATCCCCCGCTAGGCCGTATGGGCCTGGGGGGTGGGAGGGAATGGGGGCCAGCCCGGAGTTCTGTAGCCTTTCAAAGCCAGAAACAAAGAGAGACAGAAGCTCTCAGGCTTAGGTTTAAAAGGTGGTATTCACAAAGGTAATCTTACTTTTCAATGGTCTACAATACTGTCAATTCTCAGAAATGACTGGCTACTGGCCAGGTCTCAAGCAGAGAAGAAACGCCCAGCAGCCTCTCTCAGAGCCCTCACTTCTGTGGATGTTCCTCACTTTTTTTTTTCTTAAATGCCAATCCATCACACAACCCAAACAAAAAAGAGCTCTGAGAGATTCAGACAAGCCTTCAGCAAGCGTTAAAAACATTTGTGCTGCAGGTACCACCAGAGAAGGTGCAGCAGCAAGCACCCTGGAAATATTTGGGATTCAATGAAGCAGACTATACAGACACAAACAATTCAGTTTTCAACACCGAGTCAGACCTTATTTAGGATTGACCTACTCACAATTAGCACCTTTATTTGACCTCCAGAGTTAACTTGCCCCAGAAAATTAACGCTAGAGGCAAAAGCTGCTCTCAAAACAGTAGAGTAAGCTCTCTGAAACAGACAAGTCCACTGGATATGCCCAGAGGTGTCTATCACTGTATTTGTTCTCATTGTAAATCTTCACCCTACTGGTATTATAGGGCTGTGGAACACTCACTGGCCTGATCCTCTACACATCATAGAGTGGATGTTTTTACCTCATCAACCAAAAAAGACTGCACCTACAGTATGGGAGCCAATTGCAGAATTATTTATCAAATGTTGTCACAGGAGTTTACAATTGAATGCAAATGATCCTTCACAAATTATTATACCTGTGACACAAGAACACATTGAATGATGTTTTGCTAACAGTACAGCTTTGCAAAGTGCCCTGCAAAACTTGACATGACAAATCACTTACCATTTACCAAACCTGAAGGATTGTGACCTGGCCTGCCAGCTCCTGAGAGTGAATGCTTACAAATTCCAGTCACTACATGAGATACATTGCTGACTGAGGGGAACTGTTTGTCAAATTAAGTGGAACACCTCATACAAATTAAATCCATTCTGTCTTCTGTGACCCTGTCTGCAATGGGCCACTGCAGGTAGGATAACAGAGAGCATTTTAAGTATTTTAAATTTAACCAAACTGGGGGAATTGTCACAATATTGTTACAGTACAGCTGGCCTGGACTGGACAAGGTAAATCTGACCATAACACAAATCCAATTCAGCCAGCCTAGTTCATGCCTGAACAAGTCCCCAGGTAAGTTACAGGGGACAGATACAGATAAGATACAGCCATCTGGGGCTCTCAGGACCCTCAGCCATCCCTGTTCAAGATTAGTAGGAAACACATTACTGGCCAGAGATCTGAGCAGAGAGAGATCCCAGCCAATGAACTATGTGAGCCCAGGAGTTTTCAATTGAGTACATAAGTGAGCTCTGAACAATAAACGAGGCTGTTTTGTCTGATGAGCTCTGGATCTTGAATTGTGGATTTCGTCTCCCCACCCACCACTACAACAGCTGAAGTAGATTGTGTGAGGAATTAATAGAACTGCACATCCTTAATATCTATCTACAGGTTTTAAGTCTGTTTTATCAACCTCTATCACAAATATTTGTATGTTAGTCCACAGGATAGGAAGTTTTCCTAGTTATTGCTGGAAGGAAATGTTGCTGGTGTTGGAGTATGGTACTCAGCAATATTCTCCAAGTGTCCTTGGTGCCTCCCCCCAGTGGAGAGCTTGAGAGCTACATTCTCATCACCTTTGCCAGATTATAGTGATCTGAATTTTCTTTGAGCATGAGCTTGGGAGTACTAACATGTGTTATTGTCCATTTAACATCAGCTGCAGTTGAAGATATTTTATCCTGTTGGATAAAAAAGATAAAACTTTGAAATACGCACTCTGGTACATGCTGTAAGCTAGGCAATGTTACCTAGAGATGAATGTTAGGTAGGAGGGGGAGCTCTCTTCATGCCTTCTCTGTTTGTAACTGATCTGGACTCCATGGATTTAGCTCTTAAATCTTTATATATCTTATATATCCAGTGGGCCAGTAAGTACAACTGCTCAAAGATTTTATTCTTCAGCCTTGTCAGACTAAACTATTCGAATACATGCTATCAATATAATTTATTAACAGATGTATAAATGTTACAGATTTACACATTTTCTGAAATATACTGCTTCCATCCTCACAAACCTTAGCACTTTTTTGTCTCCAAAGCAGCACAGGTGTGAAGCAACACCAATATTATGTGGGCAACTTTACTGTTTCAAGCAAAACAACAGTAATAATAGTTCTTGTGGAAGTTATGTTTTGAACAGCTGGTTATTGTTTCTACTTTCTTCTTTTATGGTTGTGATATTTGTCTTCATCCCTGAAACAGAAACATAAACATTATGTGGGCTGTTAGGCTCAGAGTGACAGAGTCCAAAGAGAAAAACAACTTGGAAAATGGAAAGCTTCCATTAAATGTAGTCATGTCCTCTAAGGAAAGAAAGTAAGCTACTTTTAGACAGTTTATTTTCCATGCTGCTTTAATCAAGCATTGCCATGCAGTGCCAAAGTGGCAATTAGTTTAGGATGAATGGCATCACAGCGTAACAAAGCCAGCTTTGAGACAAGCCATCACTGCTATTCACGCAGTTATGTAATGCATTTACCCAAACATGAACGGCAAGGCAGCATTTCTTCTGCACAAGAGTCCTCATGTCTGCTCAAACACAGGTCCCACACACCTGTGGTCCTGCAGATGCAAATATGTCCTTGTTGATGGTACTAGAAGGTGTGGCCTAGATTTGTTTTCTTTTGCTAAACTGTGTGTCCAGAAGTACACAAGAGCAACAGCATTGTTTTGAGGCATCTAATACAGAATGGCTAGTGTATGTATATTAGTGAAATAAATAATACTATTTATTAAGGTCTAGAGCAAACTAGAGCAGAAGCCAGCATTAGATATGACAGGCACTTAGTTGTGGATAAGAAACATACTGTCCATTTAAACCATTTAACAAGGACAAAAATCAAAAACCTGTTACAGTACTGTTGCAGTCCTATAGGGTGCTGCGGAAACTATCACCTTTCAGATATGACAGTAAATTCTGAAGTCTGGATCACAATTTATTATCTCACAGAATGTTTTGTTTAGTATTAGAAGCCTCATGCCATTGGCTTGTCATACTGCACAAAGCTTTTTAATTGGACTAGATATCCTCAATATCTGCACTAAATTCTCATAGCAAATGGCTACAGCTGCCTGATTCAGAAGCAGGAGTCAGCTGTCATTGTTTCTGCTCACCTCTCTCTTTTTCTCCAAGAATCTCTGTCTTTGCCTCTCTCACGACTCCTTCTTCGTTTACTTGGACTCCTGCTGGTGTCTCCCCTGTGTCTGGAGCACTCCGTATCCCTACTGCTTCCCCCAGACTGCCGCGAGTCCACTGAAGCCGACCGCCTGTCTTCCCTTATGAAAATAAACTTAAGTGATTTTAATCAATAAAAATAATTTCACAGTCACTTTTTCCAGTACTAGTTTTATAATATAATGACTTACTGTTGATATAAGACAGACAACATATCTTTTATTAAGCCTCTCTAAGAAATACGATACCTCCGAAAAGAGGCTCTAAGTTCATGCGCATATCACAGCACACTATTTAATCCAATTATTTCCTATAAACACTGCTCCTCAGTCTTAACACCTTTGCTTGTGAAACAGGAGGCAGTAGAACAGACTTGCTCTGTTTTGCTTTAAATTTTTAACTCTTCATAACCACCTGCTTTAAGCTGCAAACTACAGCTGGAGTACCTAACTCCTAATCTGACAGAATCATAAAATTGTCAGGGTTGGAAGGGACCTCTGGAAATATTCTACACCACTGCCCTTGCCAAGGCAGGGTCACCCACAGCAGGTTACACAGGAACGTGTCCAGTGGGTTTTGAATGTCTCTAGACAGGGAAACTCCAGGACCTCCCTAGGCAGACTCTTTAAGTGTTCTGCCATTGATTCATCTTCAATTTAATGCTGGGAACAAAGTGTCACTTTCTAGTGTGTTTCAAATACATTGTCCTCTCAAAGACCTGCAGAAGAGGCACAGATAGGTAAACACTAGCTCATGACTCCATGTTACTTCAGTGACAAACGTTTGGAAGGGTGTGCAGTGTTGCTTGACACAGCAGAAATATGTACAGCTAAAACACACTCCAAATTAGCAGAGCAGCATTTGCAGGGATAAGAACTGTAAAGCTTCCCCATATTTATTATGTTATGGAAACCTTTACTCTGAGGTGTAATATATCAAGTCATGAGGTAGGGAAGGGTAAGAAATTGTGTATTTGTATTTCCAAGTGTCCTTCTGCACCCAACTACTACGTATATACACTTCTGGGTACAGAGGGAGCACTATGCATCCCCCAGCTCCACCAGAAACTCCCTGTTCAGCTCAATCACTTGTTACCTCTGAAACAAAGATCCTTATTAATTTTTCTCCATCCTTCATGCAGGCAGAGCTTCTCAAGCACAACTTAACAGAATTAGTATAAAATAAACCGTGTATATGACTAAGATAAGGTTGGTATGTGGTATTAGAATAAGGCGGTAAGATCAAATTACAGTCTGCTGCAAGCCTGAAGAAGCTGTCAGCTGTGGCATACCTTCCTGAGGACTTCAACTTCTCTCCTTCACATATCTCTGCATTATGCAACCTGTTCTCCTGCCACTGATTGCCGAGTTCTTCCATATGCACACCAATCACATCCCGAATCACCTGGATATAAAGGTATGTTGAAAACAGACATGTCATGGTAGTGCCTTGAACTAGCACGAGACAAACTGTAAACATCTCAGAAAAACCCAAACCCCACAAAAATCTCCCCCAATACCTGTATATCAGATGTCTGAATGGAAAGTCTTATTTAGAGGAAAATGTTTCAACATGAATTTAAATAGCACCATTTTATGATAGTGAGCTATATTTTGCTGGCATTTTCACATTCAGAAGTTAGCAGTTAGAAATGCTCCTTATTTGTAACTTGCTGCAACAAACCAAAAACCTTCCTCTACAGTTTGCAACAATAATAAAGCAGGATACAAGAAGCAGAGAAAGACAAATATTATTTGTCTTTGAAAGAGTATATACTTGTTTATGCTGACATATAATAAGCAATTTTGTGCAAAAAAGCCTTTTTTTTTTTTATCTCACCTCAGTGTAGGACTTCTTCGTTATATGAACATTCTTAGCTCTGTATGACTGCCGCCGCCTTTTGTAATCTCGCATTTCAGCCAAAATTTCAAGATGGGACTTTGGACCTTTCTGACTATCATCTAGCAAAAAAATGGGGAGTAAAACAAACAGCCATTGGAAGGACATTTCCACCTGCAGGTATGCAGGCTTCATACGTTCAGGAACATAAAATAATCATGTTCTATCTCAAGTTCCTCCTGTATTTAGTAACTATGGTGAATCTATCTCAAGCTTCCTCCCCAATCTTCTTGCTGGCTGTTTACGCACGAGTTAAAAGCCACCAAGCAAACACTGTTATGTGATCTCAGTCTCCAGACTGTGATCCAACCAATATACAGGCTTGTGATGTGCTAAAACACCTTCTAAATATGGGTCACGTTTTCAAAGTCAGTATTACAGTAAGACACAAAATGAGAAAGCCACATTCTGTAAAAAATTTACCTGTGTAGATGACAAGCACTGTCACACCTCCTAAGCATAGCATGGTCTGCAGGGTGACACAGATGCTTTTGCTGCACTTGGTAGTTATAAACTGGCATGACAAGAGGGATAAGAGGTCCCAGACTAACACCAAAGTACATTGCTCAAGAGCTCCACTTAGATGACTGCAAACCTCTCCTGTTCAGCTTTTAAGCGATCTTTAATCTCATCATGTCTTACAGCAAATAACTGTTCCAAGCTGCACAGCACATTGGCAACATTAGGAAACCTGGAATCAGCTGTAGCAAAGACAGAAGATCCATCCACTGAGATACACACAATATGTGTGAGCAGAGCACTGAAGCTTTCCCAGAAGAAAAACATCATAAAAGGACATCAAACTAGCATTTTGTGATGCCAGGCCTTTGCTGCAGCTTTTAAGAACAGTATGCTCTCCACTAAAAACGAAAAACAAAAAAAAAAGGGTAGCAATGTATCTGAACAACTTGGGGCATAATGTGCTCCAGCCAAACCGTCTGTAGAATTTCTTATCAGACCCTCTTGTCGAGATTGCTGAAACATAAATTGCTCTAAAATAAGAATGAAAAAGCTGAAAAACAGCAAAACAGAAAAACAAGAACCAGGTAACAGGAAGCCATCAAACACCTAGACTGTGACCAATCACATATCTTGAGAAGTGCGTGCTGAACACATGGACAAAATAAAGGCACCAATCAAGAAATGTGTGATCAGCATGTGCAGTAGTTTTAGAATCTATAAATAAGTGCATAATGTAAATAATAAACAGCTTCTGTGTAATCATATTAGTTTGTTGTTCAGAGGTCCTGAGCTCCTGCAAATAGCATAACCAATTCTGTTCGGCTTTCAACGAAACTCATGTAACTGGACAAACTGAAAGTTCTGAGACATAAATTCAACAACAGATCGATCATTCTTCAAACCTTGGGTGATTTTTGCTGCTAAATCCACGAAGAGATCACTGTCATTTTCCGTTATCTGGGATCTAGACCTCTGTTTCTTTGTTTCCTCAACAACATAATCATAAAGAGCAAGACGGTCAGCTTGGGTCAGGTCACAGACGAAATGCTTGTGGTTTTGAGGAACTTCTACAGGCAGTAATGAATAATATCCTGGAGGTTGGACAGAGAGCTGTTACTTGTAAAGTAGCATAATTATGCAGGAAAATATGAAGCAGCTCAACAAACAAACAATGCAGTAAATAAACTTCCAGGCTGTTTTCATTTTTCCCCTATGCATCTGGTAAGAAGTTTCAACCTTCTTAATTTGAAAAGATAAAAACTGCTCAAAGATCCCTCCCAAGCCCCACGCAGGCTGTATAACCTTCCTTACTGCTTACACAGATACAGTTTTCATGTGCCATGAAGGAATTGTACTAGATTAGATCAAAATGACACTCTGTAATTTCCCATGAGTTTCAGCTCTTGGCTTACAAACTAAACCAGGAAAGGCTGCAACTCTAACTTGTAGGTTTATTTTTATCCCAAAATGTCAGGTAAAGTACTAGCTGCAAAATACTTGTTTCTGCCAACAAGAATGAAAGCTTCTAGGAGACTAGATAACCCAGCACTGTGTAAATCAGTCTCACTCACACTGTCAACATCTCTAAAGAGGTTTTATAATAGACTGACACAGGAATTTATAGCTAAAAGGACTACAAAGGCACTTTCAAAGTGCTCCAGGTCAGCTCAGATAACTCACTTAAAGTTATGGAAACATATGCACTGCCTGCACACTCCTTTTTTCCATTCCCCAGTTAACACATATGCCTCCAAACAAATCAGTCCATTCTCAATCCATTGCAACAGCAGTTAAGTGACTTCCCCAAAGATACAAGATGCAATAGTCGAGGACATTGCCAGCAAAAAAACATTTCAGTCAAAAACTTTCAATTTTCCAGCAACCATTGATCTCACCTCCATAATCCTGCTCCCCCCAGCACAATCCCACACATGTTCAGGCAGACAGAAGAGCCAACACATAAAAAGGCTGTATGCAACACCCTCCTCAACAGCAAACCTAGAGCTCCTCCAGATTATTCAGCTCTTAATGGAAGCTGAGAAATCTTTCACATCCTACTATCACTAAAGACACCAAAGAAGAGGAAGAGAAACCATAATAACTGTAAGCAAACCTAAAGTGCAAGATTTCATCCTTACTGTACTTGGAACCTAAGCCAGAACCGTTCTAACATGAACAAATGGATTTAAACACAAAAACTAGAAGTTTTTCTTTAAAATGCACTCTTCTTACAGCATCACAGAAGTCCATAAAAATGCACTGATAATTACATGCTTGTGATTTTACAAGAATTACACGACTTGTGGGTATGATTAGTTTTCCTTTTCAACAATGTAGCTATGCTAATGTTCTAAATATGGCTAGAATTGGAAAAAAAAGAAAACAAAGAATATCACTTCCTTTGAGACAGTGAGTCAAAAGGAAATTTACAATGAAAAATTAATTTTCATTTGCTTCTGTTGCCAAAGACTAAATTGAACAAATAAGTCAGTAAATCTTAAAACGGGTCAAGTTGCCACAATGAAAACCACCGATCCAGTTTTAGTGTTATCCTCAGAGAACTGTAAGCTTGTGGGGAAATCTGGGCAGCGAACACAGAGTGGCTCACTGGTGCACCTTTGCAATGAATCCCTCCACAAAGGGTTTATCTACTGCTTCTCTACTTGGATGTGCTTGTGTCAAATTAATGAGTTCCCACTTCCCTTCAGAGGAAGTGCACCTGACATGCTCAAAACACCATGCTCATCTCAGGCAATCTCCTTTCCAAGCAGTTCTCCATTAAGCCTCTATTTGCTATCCAGAGAAACAAAGAAAACAAAAAAAACTGAGCAAGTGCTGCTGTATTTCAATGTCAGAAAACTTGCAGTGTCACTTCTGTTCATATGTTCAACAAAACAGTCTACAGAGAGCAAATGTTCTTTCATGTGTTGTAGTAATTTCTTAGCCATACACTAAAGCTCTACAGATTCCACAGGGAGGTCTATTTTTCTACTTTGTCTAAGTCTGAACTCTCAAAGACTCCGTCCTAGCCTGGTCCCCTGGCTGGTTACAAAACCCACCAAAAAAGGAAACGTAAAGGAATTTGTGGGCTTGAAGCAATGACAAAGGACAACATCACATTTGCAAATATGCCAGCATAGTTCTTACACAGCTTCTTAGTTCAGTCTTGAAACAGTCCAACATAGTAACACACATGTTGTTTGGTTTTTTTCGGTCCTGAAGATACAGAGGTTTGAGCACAACAGACTCAGAGTCTCTCATCTAGTTGCCCCAAGTATAGAAAGTAATCATGCTCCAACATATGCAGGGGAAGGAATATGAAAAATAAATTAAATTTCTCACAGCAGCTCTCAGTGGAATGAAGGAGGGAGACAAAAGCAGCTGTCCACGGGATGCTAGTGAAGTCACGACACTATTTGCTTGCTCCTTACCTTCACTGTAGCCTGCACTTTCCTTTGCACTTTGGGCTCTAGCCTGCTTAACAATGTGAAACTGTAGATCTTTATCTGCAGGCAAAGAAGAAAATAAAATCATACAACTTTTACATCAAGTTCTCAGGTACCTGGTTGAATTAGTCTTTATTCACTAACCTCTATTATGAGACTTACAGCATGGTACAGAACATCATGGTTTCATTCATGTACAAGGGGACATTCGAACTTAAAATGCAATTTTCATCTATTATATATTTGAAATGAGAGGAGAAAATTAAGGAAAAAATATATGTATTTCTGGGTTACAAAGATATGAAAAAAGAAATGTATGTATATTGCTCTCTGTACCATAGCTTTATCTCCAAATTCTACAGACAGTTTCCCCACCTTCTAAGCATGCATTTTAATATACTTTCTGCATTTGATGCAAGAGTGGGGACTGAGAACATAGGAAGAAACTCCTAAGATAAAAAAAAACAGATCCTCCTTGGATTTTAAGATGAAAACATATGTGACCTACAGAGTAGCATTACAGTGGCAGAAGCATAAAAACGGTAAATTAAGACAAATTGCAAATTACAATTTGAGAAAACTAACACTCAAGATTTTTAGGAGGTCTTGGGAAGTTTACAGCTGCCAAGGCAGTGGGGTTGCGGTACCGTGAGGACCCGGACTACTTAGTCCCACAGGTCTGCCCCCACCCCCACCCAGGATCTC